AGAGCAGAGCCTGGGTTGTGAGAGGAAACTGGAAGCAACTGGCACGTGCAACTGGCAGCAACTGGCAGGGGGAAGGCTCTGAGAGGATGGGATTGCTGTTTATAAATACATCAAGGCAGTAAACACAGGGGAGGGAAAAGAGCTATTTAAGCTAAGGGACAATGCTGGCACGAGAACAAATGCTACAAACTGGCCACAAATAAATGGAGGTTGGAAATTAGGAGATCAGTGAGATGCTGGCCTGGCCCCACTGCTCTCCCTCCAGCCAGGGAGCTGCAAGAGGACACCGCAGACCTCGCATTGTGGTGGAAACAGGGAGAGCCCAGCCCCATGCCGGAGTGCCCGGAGATGCCCTGGGACGGAGGCTTCATCCCTGCTGCGGAGCACCCATGCCCTGCAGATGCGGGACCCCAGTGCATGGTGGTGCAGCCATCCCTGCCGGCATCCCTGCCGGCAGCAGCAGCACTGCACGGGGCAGGGGGCTGTGGGGGCAGTTGGAGCTGGGGCAGAGCCAAACTGGCACTGTTTCTCACCCCTCCTGGGAATGGGGAAGGGAAACGGTGCGACCGTGCGTGAGGGGCGATGCTTGCAGAGGCGAAAGCGTCCCACTGGCTCAGAAAATTGCTGCAGAATCGGGCTTGAAATGAGTTGAAATTGCTGAATCCAGGCGGATCTCATATCCTGGGCAGTTGCAATGCTGGCGTCAGCGCTGTGCCTTCCATCCCTGGGCACCCAGGCGGGGACTGCGAGCGCCGTGGCGGGAGCCGGGATGCCGGGGCTGCAGCGGTGGGACAGGAGCGGAGCGGGGGTGCCAGGACAGAGGCAGCTGCACTAGCAGAGCGCAGCACAGCGCGCATGGGGACACAAACCTGTGAGGGGGTGGCAGGCCCAGCTGACCGGGCTTGTCCCCATGATATACCCATCGGGACCAGGTTACCTGTGGCCTGGCTCTGCCTGTATTACCCCAGAGGCAGCACCGCCCCATTTCCTGCAATGGGCATCCCCGTGCCTCCATGTGCAACTTAGGAAGCATCCATTCCCTGCCGCTCGTTGCCTGTGCACGCCAGCGTTTGCCTGTTAGCTTAATGCAGCCCCTTGTCTCCTCAGAGCAATCAGGATTTGCCGCTGCTTGCAATGTTTAACGTCGTCTTCCAGAGGCTAAGTACCGTGGGGAGCCGTGTAAGCCGCGGAAATACCTGTGTGATCCGGGATCAGCCGGAGATGGGCACAATGGGCTTGTCGCGGCAGGGACGGGGCATCGGGGAGCACGTGGGGCTGGAAAACCCCACGGTGGGACCACTGTGGTGGGCAAGGTGAGGGTACCAGGGCCAGGTACAGGGCACCCAGAGCCCCACGGGTGCCCAGTCCTGTGGGGCGGAGGGGAGCAGTGTGGGGCAGGAGGAGGAAGGAGTGAAGCCAGGCTATCTCCCAGTGGGATCTGCTTGCCAAGCCGCCGGCAGCTATTTCTGTCAAGGTCAAAGTGTCTCCACAGCGGAGAGCAGGGAAATGAGTAATCGTGTTGAGAAATTACCTCCCTAATGGGGTCTCCCCGGCACGTGAGCGCGGCGCGGGGATGCCGCGCGCGGCCGGCACAGGGAGGCTGGAAGGCAGTGCGGGAGCACCCTGCGCCCACACCACAGCACCCATGGGTGCTGGGTGAGGGGAACCGCTGTGCCCAAGGCTCTGGAGCTGCAGGGCACATGTGTGCAGGATGCAGGGACGTGTAGGTGCCACCAGGAGAGACTGCCGCCCCGCAGGGCACTTTTCTGGGTCAGCCGCCAAGAGGGAATCGTGTTGCCGGTGCGGGCAGGCTCTCCCCTGCCCTTCTTCCTCCTCTTCCTCCTGCTCTCGCCATTATCTAATTGGGTTTGTCATGCTGGAAAGCCAGAGCCCTTCAGGACTGTGCTGTGCTCTCGCCAGCGAGATTTCACAGCTGTCCTCGGCACCCTGGCAGCCGACAAGTGAGTAACTCAGCTGTGCGCCGCGGGCACCCCGTGCCTTCCCCGTGCACCCCTGGCCGTGTCGCCCGCCACGGGCCCAGCAGCACCGGGGACGAGGCCGCCGCCGTCCCCTCCCTGCGGCACCTCTGCCCCACAGCTCCTCTGCCAGCCCCGGGTGCCATCTCCACCCCTTGATGGGTTTCCAACCATCAGAGACCCCAACCCAGCCAAGAGATGTCACCGCTTCTGGGTGCTGTCCCTGTCCCCAAGCCATGGTACAATGTGCCCCCCCGCTTCAGGGCAATGCGATGCTGCCCAGAGATGTCTGAGCCAACGCGTGAAATGGAAGTGCTCAGAGAAACGACATTTCCTCCAGCCTGGAAAGCTCATCCTCTGCTTACAGAAAACTAATATAAAAGCTGCCCTAGTGTGCAAGGGGCTGATGGTATCAGGCCGGCAGCCTGCGGCGCTGAGAGCCACAATAAATCTCGGCTAGGAGCCAAGCCAGGGAGATCAACCTCGCGCAGCTGCTCCGTGTGTAGGGCCCCCGTCTGTGCCGCGTCCCAGGGAGGTGTGTGGGGACAGCAAGGGCAGCCCAGCGTGGCCTGGGGTCGCCGTGCAGCGCCGCGGTGCCCCGGAGCAGCTGGCATCACGCCGGTGTCTGCACGCTGAGTGCCGCGGCAGCCCCGCGGGCAGGACTGCTCCCCGCGCGGCTGCGATAGCAGCGAGCGAGCGCCGTCCCGCGCCGGGCCGGCTCCGTGCCGGGGGCTGCCTCTCTGGATGCAGTGGATGGGACGGGTGGGCACAGGCAGGGTTTGTGGTGGGGGCTGGCGCTGCGTGCGCGGTGTGCAGTCCAAATGCGGGACCGTGCTGCCCTCTGCCGGCTCGGAGCCTGGCCAGCCCAGCACCGCACGGCACCCCCAGCCCGTGCGGGACGGGGATGGGGTCCCGGGCCCAGTGCACCTGCATGGGGACCTGTCCCTGGGCTGGCAGAGAGGAGCCCCAGGGTGCCCCGTGCCCTCTACAACCAGGAGCAGCTCACACTGGGCATGAGCACCCCCTGGCAGGCTGTGCACCGTGTGGCACTGGATTGCCATGTTCCCAAGGCCTCTGAACAGTTCAAGTGACACAGGAACATCTGGGAGGGATGTGGGAGCCAGTAGTTTGGTCTGCAGTGGTTGTTGCTTCAGCCCTCCTGCGATCTTCTTCACCTGGTCTCGCCCCCGGTGCCAGCAGTGTCTCTCCTCCATGGCCCACAGCTGCAAACAACAACCCCGCAGATGCTGTTCCATGTGCCAGGCCACGAGCAGGGCTTGCCCGGGCACCCGAGCACTCGCAACCCTTCCCTTGCCTTGCCTTGCCTTGCCTGGCCTTGCCGGCCTGGTGACAGGGCAGGCGAGGCTGCGCCGCCGGCCTCCTCCTCCTCGCAGGTGCCCGTGGTGCGTGGCGCGGGCAGCCGGGCACCCTGCTGCAGCAGGCGGGGGGCTCGGTGCTGCCGGCGCGGTGCAGAACAGCGCGGCACAGTGCGGCACAGCGCGGCACGGCACAGCGCGGCGCTTTGAAGGCGCCCTGACAAGCTGTCGGGCCCGCGGGGCGCGCTGACAGGCGGGCGCCTCGGAGGCGCCGGCGGCTGCGCGCGCTCCCCCCGCGCTCTGATCAGCGCCGCAGCCGTCACTTCAAAGCGCCGCGCCGCCCGCGAGGCTCCCACGCAGCCCGCGGCATGGCGCAGGGTGCAGGGCGCGCGGCGGGACGCAGCGGGCGCCCGCGGCCCTGCACCGTGCCCGGCTGCCCGCGCGGGAGCCCAGAGCCTGCCGGGCCTTGCCAGGCTGCCCTGTGGAGCGGGCATAGGGCTCCCCAGCGCCAAGGGATCCCTGGCAGCGCTGGCAGGGCTGCTGTGGCAGCATGTCAGGGACATGGGGACAAGGCCGGGTGCAGCGTCTCCATCTCCTGGCACTCCTGCAGCACGGCCAGGATGGGGCATCACTATGTGGACACTGGTGCCCACCACGTGGGGCACTGGGGGCTGCTTGGATGAGCTGCCCCGTGGGACAGCATGACATCTCCCCATCCCCCCCCAGCCCGTCTAGGGGAGGAATTTTCCATTCCCGGCTGGATGGGGGAAGGCGCCTGCCTGCACCAGCCCCCTCCCCGCCCTCCCCTCGCCCGTCACTGGAGCAGCTCGGGAAGGCGCCTGCCACATTCGGCTCGGGAAGGTGCGGAGCAAGAGCCTGCAGGGAGGGAGAGGCAGCAGTGCTGGGCCCAGGCCATGTCACCGGACGGGGATGCCCTGGCGCCGACGTGGGGCTGCAGCGTCACCCAACTCACCGTCACCTTCCTGAGAGCCACCAGGATCCCCGGGCTGCACTACGCCTGCACCCGGCCGCAGTCCCGCCTGCGCCGCCTGCTCTGGAGCCTGGCCTTCGCGGCCGCCGTGGGGCTGCTGGCCACCGGGGCCACCAACCGGGCGCGCTACCTGCTCTCGCACCCGGTGCACACGCGGGCGCGCACGGTGTGGGCGCCCCGGCTGCGCTTCCCGGCCGTCACGCTCTGCAACCCCAACCGGGCGCGCTTCCTGCAGCTCACCAAGCCCGACCTCTACTCGGTGGGGCAGTGGCTGGGGCTGGCCTGGGAGAACCGCTCGCTGGTGCCCGAGCTGCTGGGCCTGCTGCACGAGGACCGGCGCCGCTGGCTCGCGCGCCTCGCCAACTACTCGCGCTTCCTGCCGCCGCGGCGCTCCGAGCGCACCATGCAGAGCTTCTTCCACCGCCTGGGCCACCAGATCGAGGACATGCTGGTGGAGTGCCGCTTCCAGGGCCAGCGCTGCGGCCCCCAGCACTTTGCCCCCGTGAGCGCCCGCCTTGCAGGGGGCGGGGAGGCCGGGCTGCCCGTTGGGGTGCATGGTGCGAGCTTTGGCAACAGCAGGGAGGCTGAGATGTCCCCCTGGGAGCTCTGCTAGCCCATGCAGCAGGGCTGCAAAGAGGCCCCAGTCCTCACCCTGCTTGCGGACCCCCCTGCCAGTCCCTCTGCCTGGCCCCTCACCCTCTCTTTCTCCACCCCCAGGTCTACACGCGCTACGGCAAGTGCTACACCTTCAACGGGGACCGGAGGAACCCTCGAGTGACCCGCCAGGGCGGCATGGGCAACGGGCTGGAGATCATGCTGGACATCCAGCAGGAGGAATATCTGCCCATCTGGAGGGAGACCAGTGAGTGGGGCCGGGCTGCGGGACGGGGCGCTGGGCACTGCCAAGGAGGCCATGGGGCAGGCCACTGGTGGGGTGCACACCAGGGCATGCCTGAGGACTGGCCCATGGGCAGGAATGCAGCCCACAGCCCTGCCATGCTTTCCCTCTCCTGCAGACGAGACATCATTTGAAGCTGGCATCCGGGTCCAGATTCACAGCCAGGACGAGCCGCCCTACATCCATCAGCTGGGCTTTGGTGTCTCACCGGGCTTCCAGACGTTCGTGTCCTGCCAGGAGCAGCGGGTAAGGCTGCCTCGGAGGCCAGCGGTTGCACAGAGCGAGTGCCAGCCTGGGGCTGGGCAGGGGGCCCATGCAGCGTGGCGGGAGAGGCACGGTGCAGTGCCCTTCCCGGGGCTCCTGCTTCACCCCATAGAGCCCCTGTCTCTGCCGGGCACTGCACCACGTCCCACAGCACCCGGGGGTACCCTGGGTTCCAGCACTGCCCCACACCGATGCCTCTCTCCCCGGCAGCTCACCTACCTGCCCCAGCCATGGGGCAACTGCCGGGCCAGCGTGCAGGGGGAGCAGACGCTGCCCGGCTACGACACGTACAGCATCGCCGCCTGCCGCCTGCAGTGCGAGAAGGAGGCCGTGGTGCGCAGCTGCCACTGCCGCATGGTCCACATGCCAGGTGAGGGGCACGGGCGCTGCCGCGGGGACGCCCTGCTGCCCCACAGCACTGCCCTGGGCTGCCCCTGCCCCATCCAGACGTCACCCGGGGGTCACCCCTGCCCATCGCCCTCTGCACGCAGGATCACCCCTGTCTCCTCCTCCTTGCCTCTGCGCTTGCCCCCTGCCCCATTCTCTGCCCCAGGGTCAGCCCCTTTGCTACCCACCTTGCACCCAGGTCAGTCTTGCCCCATTTGACCTGCCCTTGGGGGCACCCTTGCCTGATATGGGAGTGAGTCTGGGCAAAGGGTGAGGGACCAGAGGGCTGGACCCCCATCCCCGCTGACCACTGCTTCTCCCCAGGTAACGAGTCCATCTGCTCTCCCAACGTGTACATTGAGTGCGCTGACCACACGCTGGGTAGGTGTTTGGCACGGGGCGGGCCGGGGAGCGCGGCACGCTGGGGGCAGCCCCTGCCCACCTGGGTGCGTGCCCCTCAGACACGGCCGTGGAGGACAGCCAGGAGCGCTGCAGCTGCCCCACGCCGTGCAACCTGACGCGCTACGGCAAGGAGATCTCCATGGTGCGCATCCCCAACAAGGGCTCGGCGCGCTACCTCGCCCGCAAGTACAACAAGAACGAGACCTACATCCGGTGAGCGGCGCGGGCAGCGCGGCCTCCTCCCTGGGCAGGGGCTGCCCTCAGCTCCCGGCGGTCCCCGGGAATCTGTGGGAGCCCGAGCCCCACTTGGCTTGCAGAGACTTGGTCCTTTTGCAGCATCCTCTCCCCAGCAGTGGCTGGAGCATCTGCCCTTTCCATAAGCCCTCCTGCCCTTCTCCGTGTGCATCCCACAGCCACTCCCAGCCCGGGGCATGTCCGCACTGCACCAGCCAGCCCATGGCCGCTCTGTGCAGCCCAAATAACTCACTTTGCATCTGTGCTGCTGGGTGGGGAGGAGGGAAACTGCAGCAGCTGGGAAGCATCATCTCCCCAGCGCTCGCCCTTCAGCTGAGGCTCGTGCTGCCACCAGGGAAGTGCTGGTGGGGCTGCCAGGCGTCTCGGGGCTGGGGGTGCCCAGCACATGGGGCAACGTGAGGGACTGGGGTCCGTGGGAAGGCAGTTGTGCCTGGGGAGGGGACCCGAGTGCTAAGTTTGCAGGCCAGCCCTGACTGCTGGGTGCTGCTGTGTCCCTGCAGGGAGAACTTCCTGGTGCTGGACATCTTCTTTGAGGCGCTGAACTACGAGGCCATTGAGCAGAAGAAAGCCTACGACCTTGCTGGGCTGCTCGGTGACTCCCCTCTCCCTCCCGTGGGACCCCTGCCCGGCCGCACGCTCTGGTGCCGGGAGGATGTGGGGCTGCTCTGGGTGAGACCGTGGCGGAGGGGAGCCAGCCCGCAGTGCGCTGGTGTCCCGCAGCGTGGTGCTGTCCCCTCCATCCTATGGCCCTGCCTTAGTCACAGTGGTGTCCCCTGGCCCTAGGCGTGGGCTCCCACCCCAGCCCTACTGGTCTGTCCTTTACTCTGTCCCGCTGCTGCCCATGACCAACTCTTGCTCCTGCTCCACAGGGGACATCGGTGGGCAGATGGGCCTGTTCATCGGTGCCAGCATCCTCACCATCCTGGAAATCTTGGACTATATCTACGAGGTGCGCTGGGCGCTCCCGGGCTGTGTCTGAGGTGGAAGCGGGACTATCGGGCATGGAACGTGTTGGAAGAAGGTGCCAGACATGGGAGACGATGCTGACCAGGCCATCCTCGGCCCCCAGCAGTGGGGAAGGCCATGGCATGGCCAGGGATAGCACATGAGGCAGGGCAGTGCAGCCCCCAGATTGATTGCACTGGAGGGGAACAGCTCCCCATGCATCCCTTGGTGTCCAGGAGGTGGCTGGGGAGGGAGCGGGGGTGGCAGGGGGGCCCAGCAGGTCCGTGCAGACCGACATGTGCATGCGCAGCTGCGCCCACGCCCATGTGGGTCTGTGCACATGCATGTCCAGAAATGATCCTCCTCCCTCCCTGCACCCAGGTGATCCGTGACAGGGTGAGCCGGCTCTTGCGCCGCTCCAAGCCGCCCCTGAAGAAGCCCTCGGGCAGCATCGCCACGCTGGGACTGGAGGAGCTCAAGGACCAGGTAGAGCCCCTGGGTGCACAGCCCCTGCGTGCCACAGGCGCTCCTTGCTGCGCAGGCTGCGGTGGCAGAGGTGCTTTGCAGGGGGCAGGACGGGCCGCGTGCCCAGCGGGACCGATTGGGGCTGGGGCTGGGGCGGCCGTGCTCGTGGAGGGGGGACACGAGGGGCCATGGGGCTCTGCTGACAGTGCCATCCCGGCAGAGCCCCTGCGACACGCTGGGCCGGCACGCGGAGGGCGCCTACAACGCCGGCATGCTGCCCAACCACCACCACCGCCACCACTACCCGCACCAGGGTGTCTTCGAGGACTTCGCCTGCTAGGCCAGCTGGGGAGCGCGGGCAGCAGCGCCCCGGCCGCCCCTCCGCGGCGTCCGCACGGAGAGGGGCTCCAGGAGCAGGCGCCGTGGGCGCAGGACCCCGACGTCCCCTCCCCGCCGCCAGGCCCGGCCCGCACCGCTCGCCCCGGCCAGCCGGCAATGCCGCCGGCTCCCGGAGCTGTCCAGGGACCAGAGCTGCTTCCGAGCCCCTGCACCCGTCCCGTCCGCCTGCCCCCAGCACGCAGGGTCGGCCTCGTCTCAAAGCACACAGAGCGGAGGGGGATGCCCCGCGGCCGCGCACTGCCAGGGGCAGGATGGGGATGCCAGGGCGGGCTTGGGGGAGCTCCGGGGTGCAGGGGAGAGGGGTCCCGGTGGTGCAGAGCGTATGTGCGGTGTGCTGGGCTTCCTGTGAGCCCCTGCAGCCCCTCCGCTGCCAGCCCCTCCTCCATGGGTGCTCTGCCCCACACTGGCCTCGGAGGGGACATGGCTGGAACATCTCTTAGTCCCCGCAGGGAACGTCTTCACGCTGCTGCATGAAGGGCAGCGTTGCAGGGCACCCCCTCCGAGCAGCACGGCCCCCCCCCCAGGCCAGCCCAGGGCCACCCCCCTGCAGTCACACCTGCATGGCACTGCCCCGAGACCCCCCAGCCCCTGGCACCGCCAGCACTGTGACCCCCCCAGCCCTCCTTCCCCAGCCCGTGCGCCTGCCAGGGCGGCAGCTCCCGTCCCAGCGCTGTTCCCAGCCAGACCCCTGCACTGTGACCCCCACACACGCTCCCGTGTCAGCCCCAAACAGCCCCCAGTCCATTGCTGCGATGCAGATGCCCTGTGCCCCGCTCTCCTGCCCCTTCCTCCCACCCCAGTGCCACTGTGCCCCCCAGCCCTTTCCAGGCGCTCCCCTCCCAGCGTTGCTCACAGCATTCAGCCCGTGGGTGCAGCACAGCCCAGCGGGCACAGGGACCGGCCTTTGGCTGTCCCAGCTCCCCGCACCATGCACACCCGTCCCATGCCGGGTGCCACGCGCCCACCGTGCCCACCCAGGCTGCACGGGTCAGCAGGGCGCCCTGCGCACACCACTGCCCAGACCACCACGTCTGCCCCGCCAGGCTGGCACCGCAGCCCTCCTGCTGCCCCTCCTGCTGCCGGGGACCCACCGGGGAGCCGGGGCTCTCCCCTTCCCTCCAGGACACTGCCTCCCCCATCCATTGCAGCAGGCACCAGCGCAGGGCAAATAGCCTCAAAATATCTCAGGAGGTGGGGGTAGGCTGGCAAAGCCCCCTCGACATACACCCAGGGCAGAGCCGGCAGCGTGGCAGCAGTCCTGACCTCCGGGGCAGGCTGGGCTTTAGGCAGGAGGCTCTGCGGGTTTAGTGCCCATGACCAGTGCCCTGGGCCGGAGCACGGATACAGGAATGGCCTGGGGCTGGTGTCTCCCTCCCTGGGAGAGAGGGCTGGGGCAGGGTGCCCAGGCTGTGCATGGGCACAGCCATGCCACGCTGGGGACAAAGCCATAGAGGAAGGGTCAGCGCCCCAGAGCCCAGGGAGCTGCGAAGCACCGGGCAGGGAGCAGAGCTGCTGCCGTGCACCCCAGAGCCAGCCCTGCGACGTGCCCAGCAGCCTTGCCTCAGGGTACGCACCCCGTGTGCCCCGAAACATGCACACCCGTGGGAGCACGTGCCCGCTGGTGCAAGCGCCTGGCACCGTGGTGTCCAACCCCCTGCACAGGGGTGCACAGCAGCCCCCCGGCCGGGCAAGCACAGCAGCTGCATCAGGGGAGCGTGGCCCAAGTGCCCTGCACTGCTCCCCATGGGGTGGTGGCACTCGTGGCGTGGTGCCCCAGGGCAGCGCCTGCAGCACCCACCACGTGGCCCCTCCCCGGGGACCCGGAGAGCTGCCGTGGCCGTGCCCAGCCCCACGGCACGCTCTGCAGGTGCCGGGTGCAGGACGCGGCCCCTCCGCGCCGGCGGCAGCAGCGCGGGAGGGCACGGGCGCCGCGGCCGGAGGGCTGGCGTGAACGCTGGTGAATGTAAGAGATGTGCGTCACTGTTTTATAAATGTACAAACGCTCCCTAATAAAGAGGCACAAGTAGGTCCTGCGTTGTCTGCAAGGGATGGGAGCAGGGTGGCCGGATGGTGGCGGGGCTCGGACGCAGCGTCTTCAATGTCAGCACGGTGCTGGCCAGGACCAGCCACGTTGCCAGGTTTGCAGGGACAGCTCCACACATGCTCATGGGCCTGGCCCTGGCCCTAGACCTGTTATTCACCACCAAGGACTCAATTCGTTTCCACCCCGGGGCACAGCTGGAGCTGGCAAAGAGCATCTGCACAGCATCTGCTGCGCTAGAGAGGAGTTCCACATCATTGACGAGTTCTGTGAGAAAATAAACATGACTTTAGAGGAGCAGGAGTGAAGAACAGCATCAAGAAAGGTCTTAGAGATGGTTTGTCCAGGCTGCCCAGGACTTTAGGGCAAAATCTGGGATGTGCCCATGCTATGAACAAGATGACTTACCAGAGCTGTGAAATAGCTCTTTGCATATGACCTAGCAAAAAATTGAAGTTATTTTTATCCGCTGCAGTTATAACCCAGGTCCTTTTTTCCCCTGCTCGCAGCCGGTGCCTGCTATAGGCTCCCCCTCTTCCCAAGAGCACGGGGCAGGCGAGAGGATGGGAGCAGCAGCCCATTCACTCCAGCCAGGAGCCGAGCAAGATCCGCTTGGGGTTCAGAAGGACCCAGGGGAGCACATGGAGCGGGGTTTAACGGTGTCCCTGAGCAGTGTTGCCACCTCACCCCGTGTGCTGGGGGTGTCCCCTCCCATGCTGCGTCTGCACAAGGGGCCGCAGTTGCTTTCCCTGGACTCGGTGCTGCCATCCCTATGGAGCTTCCCTGGGGCTCGCCGGGCTGCCAGGCAGCTATAACCACCACACACTGTCCTCGGCCCCTGGATCAGGCCTTTGCCAATGCTGAATCAAGCCAAGCACTGTTTGAATTGCCTTTAATGAGCTGCATTAAATAGTTGGCACGCTATAATTAGAAGGGGATTCACAATAGTGAAACAGGCCCTTAATTTTAATGAGCGCAGCCCTCCAAACGAACGCTCTGCATCCGGTGCCGCTCTGCTCCCCTCACCCCGCGGGGAGAAGCCTTCACCGATCCCAAGGCAGCCGCGCATGGAAGCAAAGCACTACAGCTCTTTGCAGGGGAAAGCCACGTCTCAAAGAAAGCAGGTCATCAGGTTTGGGAGCATCGGGGATAGGTGTGAGCCTTTGAGTGCAGCAGGACACGTTCGTACCTGCTGTCACATCCTCCCCATCGCCTGCTGCCTGGAAGTGCTGGTGGTGATGGACAGCATGGGAAAAGAGGCATGACCTGCAGCATCTCCCGCCAGGCGCAGGCTCAGCATGAGATGTGTCCACACAACTGGTTTGCTGCTCTGGTCCTGTTGTTTCTCCAGGACCCATTTCCTGGGAGAAGAGCTAGTACCCAAGCTAAGTTCCATGGAGGACATCCCGGGCACCTGGAGCCCCGTGGGCTGCTCCCTGACTGCATTTGCATTGGCACAGCCAGCCCAGCACGTGCTGGTGGATGAGGCACGCGAGCCCAGGCTGGTAGGTACCTGCTGTATTTCGCTCTGCGAGCTATCAGTGGAAATTGGTGCCCTCGGAGAAATCCCAGCATCTCTCTGTCCCCGGGGAGCAGCTGCTCTCAGCCCCTGAGCTTAGGAGAGGAAATATTCCCGGTGCTTTGTTACCTACTCCATGGCTTGGGAAGCAGCAGCCTCGCTCCTAGGGACAGAGGGACAGCGCTGGCCTGTTCCCAGCCAAAGCACAGCAGGGAAAGGACATTGCGCCTCCCTTGCCTTGTCACTGTGCCCTGGCACCGGCGCGCTTCCCACAGCCTGCGAAAGGGCAGACACTGAGCTGATTAACGGGGCTGTGTCCGGAATAAATCTGCCATCACGGTTGAACGCAGCCAGAAGTGAGCTGAGCTCCAAGACGTCGCGCGGGATCGGAGAAGCAATTCCCCCTTCCCTGCTACCAGGTTCACGTCTGCGTTTGCCCCAGGACCTGCACACGTAACTGCATTTGGGAAACAAATTACAGGGCGGGGGAGCAGGGGAGGCACCCCAACAAAGGAGCAGCTTTTTTTGTATTTTTACCAGTTGAAATCCTTTTCCTTGCCGTGACTAAGGAGGAGTGGGGCTGGTGCCCTTCCAGCTCTTCCATGACGGCTGGAGACGAGGTGCCCTAGAGCCCCGTTCTGGCACGTGGGGATGAAGGGCTTGTCCCACCACTGGGGCCAGCCGTGTGCAGGCTTGGGGAAACTACACCCGATTTATGTCCCCTTCCTGGCCCCTCGCCACCCCGATGCTCCCATTGCTTTTTTCCCTGTGGCTTCCCACAAATGGAGACTTTTCCTGCTCCCTGCAGCAGCAGCTGCTCCTCACACGTGATGGGCAACAAGTCCCTCTCACAGCCCAAAACGCTCTGTGCTGAATTGGTCCTCGTGGCCCTCTTCCACTAAAGCAGCCAGCAGACACCAATGGGGAGCACACACAGCTCCTTTCCAAGCGTGTGGTGCCCAATAACATTTCCAGAAAGTCTTCCTGCGGGAGCTGTAAGTCTTTGGGCAGCAGCAATGCGCCTTTTGCTACCCCCATAGGAAAACTGCCTTTTTATTTCTCCGACTCTGCAACTGCCTTTGTGGGAAAATTACACAAACTGTGCGAAAATATTGATCAAATCTGCACAGGGTTTGCAAACATCTCTCTCCATTAAGTTGCAAATTGACCATGTAACCACGGGACGCTGCTCCTCCTCGGCCTCCTCTGTTAAGGCTTTCACCTTCACAGCCCCACGCTTCACTGGGTACCTCTGGCATGGGCAGCGAGCGGGAGCGCAGAGCGCAGCGATGCTTATCCCGACCCCGGATACCATGGAGCGCGCAGGACAGGGCAGAGCAGGAGCAGGGGGGCAGGTGGGACCCCTGAGACCGGCGATGGAGCCCCGCCAGCTGCTTCCCTGGCCCGGGCTGCCCACAGGAACGAGGCTCCCCAGCACATCCAGCGGGTCCCTGGGTATTGCCACCCTCCCTGGCAGTGGCTGTCCCGTGCTGCTCCTTTGTCCCCGCGTGTTTCTAGGAAGGGCTCTGGAGCAGGTTGTCAGCAGCTCCCTGGCTTCCAACTCCCTCTTGCTGACGGCAGCCGGCCGGGGCGCCAGCCTCCCACTGATCCGAAAATAGCTGGACACCCTGGGGCCGCTCCTCTACCTCCAGCACGCAGCATTGCTGCCTGTGACCGTGCCGGCCAGCCCGTTCCCCAAGTGGGTACCCAAAACTCGTGCTCCCAGCCCTCCACGCCTGCCCTCACCCCAAAGTTGGTGCCGGCACAGCCCCAGCAAGGTCCAGCCTCTCCTTCAAGGCCTGGAGAGCAATCGCCTTCCTTGGCTGCCAGGGAAAGGCAGCTGCAAAGGGGGCAATCACACTGACACAGCAAAGGGGACTTGAGACAAGCTACAGAAACGCGTAAAACAAGTGTTTGGAAAATGCTGACTTTGCTCCCGGAGGCTGCTGAAGTGCTGTGCAGTGCTGGCGGGGAGGCCCGGTGCAGCCACCCAGCACAAGCCGGGCTGCGGCGCTTGCAAGGAGAGCAGTGCTGAGCAAAAGAGCTGCTCCAGGGAGACCAGCACGGCCCACGGCTTGCACCTCCCCCTGTCCTCGGGGTGCAAGCTGAGTGCTAGGCCGCAGGAAAATGTGAAATCCGGCAGCGCCCTCGGCTATCTGGCCAGCGACCCAGCTCTGGAGCTCACCGCAGATGTCGCTGGTGCGAGACTTAAAGCTGTGAACTTTTGCACATTGGGCTCCAGCTGGGAGCAGAATTTCAGAGAGCAAAACTCAGCCATTCGAACTGCACACATCTCCAGTCACCTGCAGCCAGGGCAGGACCAAAACTGAACACTTTCCACTGCTGTTCATCACTGATTTCTTTGTGGCATCGTTCTGGGGCTGCTTTGGTTGACAGCAGCATCTCCTCACACGTGAGGGCAGAGCGGGGGGCAAGACGCTGGGCTGCTGCACGGCATGGAGCTGCTCCAGCAGCCACGCTGCCATCACAAAGCACAGCTGCATCGTTTAGCATGTTTTGATACTGGAAATAACCTGGCAAATGCCAAAGTGACTTTGAACACTGACAGCTTATTTTTGAAAGGAACCAATAAACTTTGCTGAAAGTACCATAAGGGCTATAATTTGCTCTTACGTATGTTGAGGCAGGGGATGGTTCATTGGTTTTAATAGTGCAAAGCTTTAAGTATGCAAATAGCTCTATACTCAGTCTGGGCAAACAGCAAAGAAGAGACAAGAGCAACTATATCTAGACCATCTTGCAACAATTAAATGACAATTTAGGATTTCTTTTTGCAGCCAATTTTATGTGAAGTTGGTCTGCTTTATTAGCGTTTGGATACTCTTCTAACACCTAATCAATTCAGACTCCTAGGTCTGCATTTCTGAGAAGAACTGTATCTGCAGTGCACCTGCATCCTCCCTACACCCTCATGTCCCAGATTCACATTTAAAGTGAATTAAGGACATGTTTGGGGCAGATCAAAAATAGAAGTGCTTACAGCAAGCTAATGATTGTTCTCAGAAATACAACAAGCATTTATTTGAACATATATGTTTCTACAGTGAATACAAACACCGGAATAAGAACCTCTCTCTTTGGGAACATATGCCATCCAATCTGTGGCGATTTCCATGAGTTTTGCTGAACATGGCTTTATTAACTACAGGCAAGGAGGCTTAATTTTCTCGAGGATTTTGCCCTTGGAAAGTTGTTGGCTTGGGAAGTTTGGGGAGCAGGAGCTGAACGCAGCTGCCCTACAAAGACATTTGTTTCCCAAGTGGAGCATGGCAGGCGCACCCGCATCCCACGGGCTTCCCAAGGTGCTTCCAGGGAATCAGTGAGAGCACCGAGGGCAGGGAGAGGGAGGGCGAGAACAGCTCCCATATGGGGGGGATAAATAAAGGAGGGCTCTTCCGCTTGTAAAAAGTGGTGACCAAATGGTCGGTGGGACGAGCACGTGGATCCAGAATAACGATGCCTGGAACAGCACAAAAAGGGGATGTTTACTCGCCCTTTCTCCTAACACGAGTAGCAGCTGTATGTGCTAAGAGCTGCAGCAGGATTAAAGGCCAAGAGGAAGTGCTTTGCCCCAAAGGATAGCATTAAACTAGGCCCAGGATGCAGAACAGACCATGAAGGGCTAAGACCAGTTTGGAGTGAGGACGCACCAGCAGTGACCCGAACTGGCGCCTGGCTGCGGCTCGTGGCCAGGAGCTCCCTTGCGAGCTGTGCTGGGTGCAGGAGGGGGCAGCAAGGGGACAAGTCCCGCTGCTCGCGCCCGCTCCAGCCCCTCTGCCCCGAGCGGCCGCTCCGCTCGGCTCCATCTCCCCGGAGCGGCCGCTCCGCTCGGCTCCGTCTCCCCGGAGCGCGGGACAGCTCAGGCTCAGCCCCAGCCTAGGCCGCCATGTCAGGCCCGGCCCAAGGAAGAAGCAGTCAGGCCAGCTTGTTCATCTCTCCATTTTATTAGTGTAAACACAACCCCCCACCCTCCCGTCCCCACTATTAAATACAAACCAGGAGCAGAGAGCAGCTCCTCCGTCGTTTCTCCTTAGGAGACGCGCAGCCGAACGCCCCGTCCTGCCCCCCAGGCGCCACGCGCTCTGCCCCACGCCGAGCCGAGGGGGTCAGCCCCAAGGAAGGGCCGCAGAGGCCACGTGCACAAGGGCCCCTTCTGCAGTGACAGGGCAGCGGTGCCCCCGGGGACGGGGACCACGGGGCAGGCCCACACCGGGCCCCGGGGTGGTGGCAGGAAGGGCTCAAGCCTCCGGCAGGAGGCTCTTGTCTGAAGGCTGTAGCCTCCTACGTCCTAGCGACACTACGAAGGCCGAGACGGCCTGGGTCATGGTTCCCATGGGGAGCAGCTCGTGGTAAGTGAACACAGCAGGATCCCTGGCTCCCCTCCTGCACAGGCCGATCCTGGGGGATCCTGGGGCCAGGAACCCCTCACCAGCCTGGAGGATTCAGCTTGCTGTCTGGTTACCAAGTGGCATATGCTGAAACCAACCTCCTTATTGCTCTTTTGGGGTCGGACGTGCCCCAGTCCATCCTCCCCCTTCTCCAGCCTGCAGGCGGGTGCAGGGTCACACCTCTCCCCCGGGGACAGGGGCCAAGTGCTCTGCTCCTCTCTGTCCTAGCACCCCAAGAGGGCCCAGCGCGAGGAGGCTAAGGAGCAAATGCAGCCCTGTGTCAGGGGGCGAGGGGGAAACACGGCAGCTCCCAAGCCCCAGCTGGCAACTCCTGGCAGTCGCAGCCCCACAGCAGGAGCCTCCGGCTCGGTGTGTATTGGGCTGGGGGGGCTGGGGATGGCGCAGGTCACAGACAAAGCAAGGGACAGAAGAGATCTGCGCCTCCCGCCAGCCGACACAGCCAGGAGCAGGAGGGAACAGAGGCAGCAGCTCCGGGGTGAGAACCCCCATGTCCCGGCTCTGAGCTCAGTAACCCTAACCCAACCTCACGGGAGGGTCTGCCAAGGCCACAGCTGCTCTGGAACGTGCCAGACTGCCCAGGCTGGGCAGGCCCAGCTCTACCTGGGCAGCACCAGCGCAGGGGAGTCGCGGGCTCTGGCACCAGCCAGCAGTGACCACTGCAGCCATGCCCAGGGGGCAGATCCGGGCAGCAGAGCAGCAGGAGGCTGGGCAGGGCCAGCACCCCCGTGCCCGCGCTCAGGTGCTGTTGCCCTGCTCCTGCTCAAAAAGCACCATGGCCAGCTGGGAACGAGACCCGACGCCCTCCAGGCTGCTCTGCACGCAGCGGTGGTAGATCTCCTCGCTGAGCCGGGGGTTGCAGGCCTGGTGCCGATAGCGCTGCAGCAGGGCAGGCTCTACGGCTCGGAAGACGTGCAAGTTGGAGTACTTGATGAACATATCATAGATGTCCAGGGTCTCCAGGATGTCCTCGTTCTCCTGCACGTCGCCCGCCATGCGGGTGCGCGCCGCCATGTAGTCGGCGTTGTAGAAGCAGGCCTCGTGGAAAACGTCACGGTCAAAGCGCCCCGCGTCCCGCAGCAGGTCCAGCGTGGCGGGCGGCACCTGGTTGTGGTAAGCAATGGCAGGGTTGTAGCCTTGGAAGTGGATAGGGAAGAAGACTTGCCAGTTGTTGATGGTGTTCATGCGGCAGCGGTTCAGGAAGTCGGTGGTGACCTCCGTGCCCACGCCTGCCACAAAGAAAAGCGTGTCCACAGGGTGCTTCTTGGAGATGATGTCCATGACCTTGATTTGGGAAGGCGCATCTGTCTTCACGCTGATCCAGGGGATCTTCACCTCTGCATACTTGCGCTCGTACTCAGTGATCTGGGCTTTCACTGGGGCGAAGATGTCGTTCTGGGTCACCTGCTGGGCCTCGAAGGGGTCGTAGATGAAGAGGAAGGTGAGCACGGCGTTCTCGCTGTTCTCAAAGGCGGCCGCCGCATACGTTTCCAGGAAGCGGGCAGCGTAGTCCCGGTCGTGGGCCGTGAGCGGCAGGATGACGTTGATGCGGCTGGCCTCGGTCACATAGGGCATGGGGATGATCTCCACCTCGCTGAGGGGGCGCACCAAGTGCACGCGCTTGGTCACGGAGCGGCTGTGCCCCTTCTGCGTGACCACCTCCACCTGCAGGTCCAGCGTGTACTCCATGCCGCGCGTGGGGTCGAAGCGCCTGTACCCGTTCACCAGCTGCTGCTTGCGGATGTGCAGCACGGGCTGGTACTTGCGGTTCAGCTCCTCCATGGCAGTGGCCACCACATCGGCCACGTCTGCCAGGTCCACGCCGTGCAGGTCGCACTTGGGGGAGCCATCCACACACGCGTACACCTGCTCCTCCGTGAAGTAATCCCAGCGCAGCACCTCGAAGCGGGTTTTGGGCTGGAAAGGGGGAGGAATGCCAATGGGCCACGTGGCACTGTGGTCCCCATCCGCGGACAGGCTGCTGGAGTTCTGGATTTCAAGCTGCAAAAGCAGAGACAGAGGAGTCACGCCAAGGTGGGCACACACAAGACTTGCAGTTTTCTCCTGCAAGGCCTCCTCTGCTAACACATGATATTCAGAAATTTGGCACTGCTGTCTGGGGCAGGAGTAGCTAAAGGAGTAGCTAAGTCTGTGCTACTCTCGGACCAACTCCAGCAAAAGCGGGTCAGGGTTTCCCCAGAGCAGCACGCAGGAAACAATAAGCTGGTTTCACTGCACTTTGTCCCACCCCAGCCAGATTGCTGCCAGATCTTGGCGCACTGCTGGCCGGGCACCCCGCACTGCCACAGCTCCAGGATCCGCTCAGGCCCGAGGCTGCTCTCGGCCTGCTTGACTGCACAGAAGACATGGTCAGAAGACACCGGCATGTGCTGAGAGGTCAAGATCGTGCAGTGAAATTCAACAAGAGCTGACACGGGTTCAAGGGTCCACATGGCCCAGACAAAATGACAGACAGAACCTCCTGGTTCCAGTCGCAGGGGCAGTGGTCCTAAGGACCGCTCTGCACACAACATCGGAGCAAATTTGTGCCCGAGTCACAAAAGTTCAGCTGATGCCACCTCAAAACAGCTCCAGGACTGAAAAAAAAAGTTCACAGTCGAGGGAAAAGGTGACAGATAGAGGCTGAAAAGCTCACACGGATGGCAGGAGGAGCTTGGATCCTCCCAGGCAAGCCTCACCTGGAGCTGCTGGATCTCCTGGTAGGTCCTCTCCAGCTCCACTTGTGCGAAGTGCTTGTGCAGCCGGTACATCTGGACAGGGTCCAACACAGGGTGCACAGTGAACGCGTTCTGGAAACGCGGGTCAGTCTCCCGCTCCGGATCTGTGTTCTTCCCTAGCTCGAAGTACTGGTAACGCAGACCCTGTGTGAGCAAGGAGAGACACGCTACAGCTGATCCAGACCTACAGCCCACCCCACTGAGGACAAGCAAAGCAAGTTCGAGGGAGAACAGCACCCAGGACCAGCGCCGCCGCTCCTGGGAGCGCAGGGGGCTGGCGAGACGCTGCCCAGAGGCTTTGCTCAGAGCAAAGGGAAGGTGAGACAAGAGGCCCGGCGGGGGTGGCAGGGCCCAAGCACCCTCGGAGACCAGCCCCGCTGCAGGACGAACCTCATGCTCCTCGGCGCAGTTGATGGCTGTGTAGTCGATGATGCAGCGGCCCAGCCACTCATCGGGCCGGGCGCTGAGGATGTCGTTGCGGCAGCTCTCCAGGTGCGGCTGCAGGCGCAGCAGGAGGCTGCGGGACAGCAGGTACCCAAAGCCCCCGTAGCAGTAGCGTCCCTCGGTGTCCCCGCCGATGAACTCCTCGGGGCGGCCCAGGTAGAGCTGGGTGTCGATGCTGAGGTGGGCGACCAGGCGGCTGATGCGGTGCGCCTCCGTGTAGGTATCGTCCTGCACCAGGAAGAACCAGTCGAAGTCGCTCACGTAATGGTCCAGCAGGTACTTGACGGTCTGGTACATGTTCCAGATGGGCCGCTCGTCGCTGTGCGTCACCACGGTCATGCCGTGGGGCACCTTGCGGCCCCGCGTGCCCGTGAAGTAGAGCAGGCGCTCCAGGCGGTGCGCCAGCGTGCGGTTCACGGCCACGGCCAGCGTGTTGAGCGAGCTCTTGGAGGTCAGCACGCCCACCAGCAGCCGCTGCCGCATGCCCAGCTCCGTGCTGATGTAGCGCGTCCTGCAACAGAGAGCGCGTGGGTCACGGCCGGCAAATCCACCTCCCAGCGCTCCCCTTCTCCCTCTCCTGGGCTTGCAAAGGAAAGAGGCCCAGCTCCGGGCTCCTGCAGGCCCCCTTGCAGGAGAAGAACACGCCACCGCTGGGCTTGTGGCCACACGGGCAAAACACTGGCCAAGGAACCACGGAGGGACCCAGAGGCTGCCGGGGCGGCGCCAGCAGCAGGTCCTAGGCAAGAGTCACAGCCCTGCGGAGGCTCCCCGGCCCTCTCGGACCTCTCGGCCGTGCCCAGCCACACGGCAGGCACAGCGGGCGCCTGCAGCAGCCCAAGGGCCTGCCCGAGCCCGCCGCTCCCCCAGGGCTCTCCCGCAAGGCCCTGCAGCCCCAGCCCCACGGGGACAGGGACACATCCCCACTCCATCCGTGCCCGCTGGGGACCTTCTCTTTTTGCAGTCAGCATAGTGCAGCTCCTACAAGAAGCTCATAAAAGGTTGGGCCATCCCAGACACCCCTCCTGCTGCCACCCGGGGACACCTGAGACAGCAGCTCCTTCCTCATGCTCCCCATGGCCAGACCCGCTCCCCACAGCAGGGCCCCCTCCCCACAGCAGGGCCCCCTCCCCACAGCTGCGGGCTCACAATTCCTTTCAGGTTTAATTATCCCTGCGCTGCCCGGAGGCAGGAAGCGACCCCCCCCCAGCAGTGCCGGGCTGCTGCCTCGCACACAGTGGCCCCATTCAGCCCCCCGCTCCCCCTGTCCCCGCTCCTGGCAGGCACAAGGAGGCCCTTTCAGGCGGGGCGCGGACGCGGCGCCCCCGGGCAGTGCGGGGCTCCGCCGGGCCCGGCGCCAGCAGCGCCGCTGGGCTCCAGCGCGGGCGGCAGCGGAAGGGTTAAGGAGCAGGAGGTATTGTAGGAGCTCAGGAAATGGAGGGCAGGGAGGGAAGCAGGGAAAGGCTCTCCCGCAGCCCTGGCGCGGCGGGAAGGGTCACCCCAAGGCAGCCCGGGGAGCGCAGGGCAGGCGAGCCCCGAGCGCGCGTGGGGCAGGCCAGCGCCGCAGGACCGCGGGGACCGGCCCGTGCGGCACGCTGAGCCCGAGCACAGCTCGTGCCAGGCAAAGCCCACGGCTCTTCTGCCGCCCGCGCTGCAGGCGGAAGGAGTGAGCGCAGGCCCCGCTGCCGGCCGCGCGGGCCTCGCTCCCGGCCACGCGAAGCGCCGCTGCCCGGCAGCCCGCGGCACGCGGGCAGCGAGGGGCCCAGGGGCCGTGCACAGGGACGGCTGTGGCGCAGGGACGGCCACAACACAGGGACGGCCACAACACAGGGACGGCCGCGGCGGCGCAGGCGGCTGCAGCGGCTCCCCCCCGCGCGCCCGGACGCGCGGCGCTGCACAGCCGGGCGCCACCTCGTTAGAGGCTTTGCTGAGCGGGGCTGTCAGGGCGCTTTTGAAGGCCAGCACGGCCAGCGGGGAGGTGACACGTTGGGGTCACTTCCCTCCCGCTCCCAGCATGGGGCATCGGCTTCACAAGGGCCCTTGCTGCCGCGGCCGGGGCAGGGCCCGGGGAGATCAAGCGCGGCCCCAACCACAGCTGACAGGTACCCGCGAGCTCTGCTCAGAAGCCGGACAGAGCCCCAGGCTCTGCTCGAGGCGCCGGCCGAGCCACAGGGAGGATGGCAGGGCAGCCAGAGGCCAAATTCACACGAAATTCCGAGTGGCGACAGAGAGCAGCGGGGAGCTCCCGTGTGGAGCAGCCCCTGCGGGGCCAGGCGCCGGCGGGAGCCGCGGCAGGGCCGGACGCGCTCTCGGAAGTCATTGCTGCACAAGGACGTCCTGGCAGGCGGGAGAGCGCCCGCACCTTCCTGCGGGGACACGGGGCGGCGGGCGGCCTCCCCGCTGCTTGCCGGGGTGCCCTGCGGCACAGGGGGTGGCAGGGGGCACAGCGGGGCTGGCACGCAGCGTGCACGGCCAGCAGCTCCGCAGGGGCCCCGGCGCAGCCCGTTACCTAACGCAGGGCAGCGGCACCGGGCATGGGGCAGGCGGCCCACGGTGCACAGGACGGCGCCTGGGGGGCACGGGGGAGAGAGCAGGGTGGGGGGCAGCCGGGGCAGGGCAGGGGCAGCCGGCTGTGGGGCAGGGCAGCGGGGCACAGCCCGCCCGCGCCATGGGGCAGCCGCGGGACAGGGCAGCCCGCGTGGGGCAGCCCGCCCGCGCCGTGGGGCAGCCGCGGGACAGGGGCAGCCCGCGTGGGGCAGCCCGCCCGCGCCGTGGGGCAGCCGCGGGACAGGGGCAGCCCACGTGGGGCAGCCCGCCCGCGCCGTGGGGCAGCCGCGGGACAGGGGCAGCCCG